ATGAAATCCACTGAAGTATGTATATGGCTTGGTTAACAACATTAACCCAAGAATCAGTACTGCCCACCCCCACTACATGCATGACCACACACATGAACCTGTGGTCTAGGATGCGAAAGCAGAGATCCAGAGTACATTTTTACATGTCAGCATGAAGTCATTGAACTTGCAAGATTATAGACTTCAAGAACGAAATGAAAACATCAAGGCACACAATACAACAAACAAAGCAAAGGCACGCTATACTTGAAATTGTTTCAGAAGATCGAAGCGGAGTTAAGCTGAGCTATTGCTCATAAAACGGCAGAAATTAAAACAGAAAAAATTTAGTTCCTTGTAAATTTGTCAGAAGATAATGTTCATACAATATGTGGAAATCTTTATTTATGGTAAAACCATCCTTCTTTAGTTAGTAATTATCCCTTTCAGCCTCAAGTTATGGCAGTAATCAAGCTGATGAAGATTTCTGTCATCACTGTACTGCCTTTCCAATGACAACCAGATATCGTTTAAGATATGACGGTGAACTTTCCTTATCTACAGGTAATATTGTAATAATGGCCAAAAAAATTAAATGGGACAGCTAGGCTCACCCCATGTGTTGAACCCGGAGGGGCATACTTGACAGTTACCCAATTTGCATGAGGCATAGCCAAATGTAGCAGCTAAAGATGATGAACCCTTTACTGTATTTCGTGGTTAAAAACCTCTGGGCAAATCCTGAAACCTATGGTTATCCTCCACGGCTCCACCACACTGGCCTGAGGTAACAGCGAAAGACAAAGCACAAGATCTTATCAGGAATCAGGATATCCTCTACCTTTGTATTTATGGTACTGTATTAGTTGGACTTTGATACGGTCTCTCGAAATTATTTGGGGCATTAGAATTATAAAAATAAGTTCAGGTATTATTGGCTATTCCCTTATCCAATTACATCATAACGGATATCTTAGTGATAGATAACAATATGTATCATACTTATCACAAACTCTGTCTGAAACCCCGTAGTGATTAATGAGTCCAGAAAAGGAGGCCTGAGGAAAGAGGCGGCCTGTAGCGAACAAGAGTATATTGGGTGACGTATATGGCCCTTCCTTGGAAGTGAAAAAACAAAAGAGAATCATTGTACGGAAAGAAACGGGCCAGCTAGGTGTTGGAATATTGTGGAGGACATGGTATACTTAGAAAGATCATCTGCAACGATGATGACCATATCTGGCCTTCTTTTCAATCTCAAACTTTTTGAATAAAAAGCTTATAGCTTATGGTTGTGTGAGGCACACGTGAAAGCTATAGTAGCTGCAGCGGATTCATTGGGTTTATGCTTGGTCCCACATGGAAAACCTGCAAGCAAGATAATAATATTCAGAGCGACATTAGCTGACCTGGCATGCAACAAAGGAGCTTACATACCCTTATTTACTCAGTTTAGTGCTTTAGTTATCTTCTCTATGCAGATGTTTGTTCTTCGGATCTCATGTCTCTACCACATTGGAAATATATCGCTTAATCCGAAGTTTGATTATGTCTTATTTGCTGAACCACGTGAAGCGTTGTGCCGAGCTAAATATTATTATTTTTGGGAAGCGCTTTACAGGTTTTATGTGTTCAACTGTTTAACAACGTGCAATGTGTCTTCTAAAGATTAAATCCACAAAGCTCGAAGCTTGAGATACTGAACTTTTAACTTGAGATGGCTTTTATATAAAATAAGAAAGGAGGGGGGGGGGGGGAAGGAAAGAAAGAAAGAAAAAGCTTAGGTTAGTCCTAGCTATTCTTCATTCACTTATTTTACCGTATGAAGATACTGATTCTCCCACTGCTCTATTCTGTGGTTGCTGAGGAGACAAATCATTAAAATTCGACTTCATTTGGCGAGATATTCAAGCCAACTGGCACCACCCCACCTTACACCTTCCACTTCTGCTATAAAAGGAGCAGGCATTGCCATCTCTCTGCACATATCACCAAGTTCCCTCTTCTTCCTTCAAACTCTCGTTCCATTAGGCATATAATCACCTTTTGTTCCTTTTCTTCTCACTTGATCCCCTCTGCTTTTCCACCCGCCACCGTTCTCTTTAGTGAACCTTCTCAAACTACAAGTCAGTGTTAAGAAATGGCATCAAGCTCAATGTCATCCTCAGGGTCATGGTCTGCTAAGGACAACAAAGCCTTTGAAAGGGCTCTTGCAGTTTACGACAAGGACACTCCTGACCGTTGGTACAACGTTGCCAAGGCTGTTGGTGGGAAAACTCCTGAGGAAGTAAAGAGACACTACGATCTCCTTGTGGAGGACGTGAAACACATAGAATCAGGACGGGTGCCCTTTCCTAACTACAAGAGAACTGGAGGCTCTGACGAGGAAAAAAGGTATATGACCACAACAATGATTCCCATTTTCTACTAAACCCCCACTAGACATTTATTTTTTCAACTGGCAAGCTAAAGCGGCACTGGTTAATTTTATACACTATCTCCCTTGCTATATAACCATTTATTTTCTCCTTCTGAATCTGATCCTATTGCAGGCTGAGGAACTTGAAGCTCCAGTGAACCAACTGGTATCAACAACAATAAAGATTTTCAACATCCTGCTGCTTCACATGAAAGTGCATGGTGCTATTTTATATGAGTTAGCAATAGCTTTAGACTAAGACTAGTAGTCATAAGAATCATGGCCCATGATTCCACGTTGTAATTTCGTATCCCTGAAGCTAGCAACAAGAATGTACGATTCTGTTTCAATTCCTAGTACGTTTCTGATTTCTGCCCATAATAAAGTTGTCATTTTTTGTTGTTATCTTTGTGTATCCTATGTATTGGCTCTTGAGTAATCCAGATACATCAAATCCTGGTCATGCAGCTTACTAATCATTAGTCACTAGTGGTGAAATGGCATAGAGAGACGGAGAAAAGAATAGCTTTAACTACCTGGTCAATGGAAATAATCTTGACGATGAAAGAAATATTAAGAACCGAAATAACTCGTACAGCTGAACTCTATGAAGAAGGTTCCATTAGGTTGGGACCGAAAGTGACAAGAGGCGGGAAATTTTTCTTTGAATGTTGAAGACTCTGGCGTTCCTTAGCTTGCCACACGGAAACATAGTTGTTAACTGCCTACGACTTCCGTTGACCGCTCTCCAATTCTATTACTTCTTTATTTGCTTTTTCTTCTTTTTCCTTTTTCCCTCTCATTTCTCTTTACTTTCTTACGAGCTGAATAAAGGTTAAAGCAGTATGCTGCTGCTGAAAGTTTGCGCATGCAAGTATTGCTCCATTAAGCAGCTTGAGTACCCAGGTCTTTTCGCTCCCCAGTCCTCCTTAAGTTGAGACATGGATTTCAAGTTTCTAGCCCTTGCAAGCTCTTCAAAGCAACGACATGTTTGATCTTAAAACATATACTTGAACAAGTCATTTAGTATGTGTTTAGTAGTATAGTATCTTCATTCTCACCCAAAAATTACAAATATTTTCATGATGCCAGTATGTGATGTAAGTTGTCATCATCATCCCCACAAATAAAAAAGACTAGGTTTTTGTGCTTATAAAAAAAAATAGTTATTCAAAATTAATATACGATAGACTCTAAGAATAAGAAAATCTTACATTCTCAAAAGTTTAAACTAAGAAAACATAAATTAATGTTGCTTATAGTTCCAATGAAGTATTTCACTAGCTCTTCAATATAGAAATTAAAAAATGACACCTGTTCGAGTGTCATGATGGCATTATTCTTTTTCCGGTACAGATGACAGCAAATTCCTATTCCATCACGATACTAGATATTGACATGCTTATACAACAAACCAATATGGAAACCCTTGGTATAAGCAAATCTAGGATGGGAATGAAACTAAATTAATTTAAGTTTCTTGACCCCAAAAGCTCATCCATTATTATATTTAGACTAAAAGGAAAAGGACGCGGAATTGTGTCCCCTCTATGATCTATACCCAGGACGAATTTAACAATTATCTATTCAACTGCACCCTCCCTGTACTGAACTGTTCTTATCTTTAACGAGCCTTTCATGGAATGTTATAAAAATATTCACGTGCATGTACTGTACTGATGTTGGAAACATTTCGATTTTTATTTTAAGGTAGACAGTATTTTGCTGGCTAGTAATAGTACCTGCAAAAAATGACTAAGAATGGGATTGTCCGGAGCGTAAAGCAAATGAGACTCCTATTGGATGGTTTGAGTCGCGTTAGGTCGGTTTAGTTGAACTAACTCTTCTCGCCCATCTCCATTCACGAACAAGCAATTATTCTTCATTCCCGAACCATAATTACCCCTTCATTTTCTCTAATTCTTATTCACGGGACTCCCACTCGCTTAACTCTCGACTTCAAGTCAAATTTTTGAATTTTATTTTTTTTCTTTTAGTGTTACAAGGGAGCAAACAAACGAGATTAAACTATCAGCGGATCACAATCCCATGTGATGTGATCATGAAGCACAGGGCCCAGGGGAAGCTAGTCTGGAACTGTATCAAGAGAAGTAAAAGTCATCCGGTCGCTAATTCACATTCAGCCATTCTAGTCTTGGATTTGGTTCTCAGTGGACCTTCTTTTGAGCCACTTGGCCCAATCGATCTTATTGATTCACAGATGTTGCATGGCCCAAAGCCCCAAATGAATGAGAATGAGCTCATCTATTGAACGAACCGTGCATGTTTCTAAACTGGGGGAAAAATACAGGCCACATGATTCGTTACTGATATTTAGCAAGATTAAAACGATTACAAGCAAAACATAAATAGAATTAGCTACTGCAGATTGAGTGCGGGGGAATGGTCTTTCTGTCCCTCCAAATGGGAATGATTATCATCATGTTTCTCTAAATACCATTCATTCGCATAAATTTCTTCTTCCTTTCGTAGGTTAGTTGAAAGCAGATATACCAGTGTGCCTTCTGTTATTTTAGCTTCTCTTCTACAAACATGAAAAGCTTTCAACATAGCATTATTTAGGGCCTTCATAAGAACCGACTGAACAACTAAGTTATAAAGTACGTTACAAAACTGCTCAACTTTTACAGAAACGGACCGGATTGTTGGAATTCAAGTGCTACCAGATTCAATAAAACCACTTGTTCAGGGTAAGTAACTACCACCACCAAGTTCAGCTCTCAACAGGACGGGAAATATAAAAGAAAAGAAACCAAGGAGGGGGGGGGATTTACATGGCTGACATGAAACAACACAGGGAGATGAGGCCTCTCAAATTTATTTTTGGGCCTCAGAGCTTCTATGCATTTAACCTACGTGCATACGGGGTATTGCCAAACGAAAGGGTCAAAGTCTTGGGATTCTACTCTTGTACAGTTGTCCGCAGAGGTAGAGAGCTTTCAACTTCTTTGGTAGTATCAGAGCTCCTTTCCGCAACAACTTTGGACAAACCAAACATCTAAATCAATCCACAATCACACCGTATCAGGAGACAGCACAAAGACAAGACCAAAAGGCGATGCAAGCATGAGAGTTCTCAAGAAAAGCTTCAAGAGTCAAACCTTTTGAATGGTTTTCTTAAAGCAAGTTTTGTGTTCATCCATAGAAGCATGGATAAACTCATCAACATGATCCTTCAAATCCTCCAAGAACGTAGCTTGCTCATTCTTCTTCTTCCGACATGAGGTAACAGCTGTGGCAGTAGCAGCTGAAGAAGTAGACTTTTCGTGTTCGTTTTTCTGATTGTCCATGCCTCAAGACTCAACAACTGATACAAAACTAAGGCAGAGCTCAAAGGACTGAGAACAGGTATTATACAGGCAATGAAGACAGCAAAACTTTTTATAAGGTAAAATTTTGAAAAGGAAAAAAGAAATCCAAATCATGATTTTTAATCATCATTTGAATTTTATAATTCATGCTAATAGAAGGGTCAAATATAAGCTCAATAAAGTCAAACTTGTACATCCTATGTATCAAGGTTACTGATAAAAGCGTCTAGTCCGCTCAATCAAATGGAACAAAGGAGGCACTGCATCAACTTGGGGTCACGCAACCAAAGAAAAAAGCGTCCTTATATTATTCCAATGCTGTAATACGTTACAGCTCAAGCATTCAACGTGGTTCTGTAACTTCACTGGCACTAAATCAAAGCCCTCATATAGAAAGGATGACATCGCATCTCATATGAATAATATGGAAATATAATTAATAAAAAATACAAAACACTTCAATTGTTGATAGATGGAATCAAAGAAGAGCAACTAAGCTACCACATGCATAATTATTCTTCTTCTTAAATAAATAAAACTGCATGCCCTTTGCTACAAGATAAAACATTCATATACGCAGATTCAGACGTCAAAAATTATCACTTACATAGAGGTACCAGCAATATCCACAAACTAAAAAACCCAGATTCACTCCAAAAATAGTCACACAATGAAAGCATGATATAAATAAGTTATTTTCATTATCACAGAGAAACAGATTATTTCCCAAGAAAAAATTAGCACATCCAAAATGCCCAGAAAAAATATAGGATTCACCACCGATAGACTTTTATTTATATAAGCAAAATACAAAGAAACAAGCATGTCCTGTCCAGTCAGTCACAATAACACAAGAGGGGTTACGGTTGTGCTAGAAATAAGACCCAACTTTAAGTATACCAACTTACACACCAGTCAGGCAAATTTTAAAGTACAGAACAAAGCACTAATCAACCTTTTCTAAAGACATCATACCGGGACACAAACAATTGTCTTGCGGACAGGGGAAGAAGGTTGCGTCATACCTAAAATTTCTTACTTTTCCCATTGGTTTGCGGGACTACGAGGGTACGAGACGATAGATGAAATTAACATAAGACCTCATTTGAAGGCCATTTGCTTTGCTTAAAAGCCATTGCAGGAGGCTTTAAAGTCATAAAATAGATTGTTCGGATGAAATTTGTAAAGAAGAAAAGCAAGTCAAATCATCTGTGAGATTCCAGGATCCTTCCTGGGCAATTTAAACTGAGAAACCTTTGGGTGCTTCACTAAGGAAAACAAGAGGGAAGGCTGGGAAGCTATCCGAGGCGGGGGAGACGAGCCAACCGTCCCGTTTGCCTCATTGAAATGATAACAGATGAGAAATAGATACGGCGATACGGCTGACGGAAAGATTTACTTTTTGTGACTGGAACGCGTTGCAGGCGTGACGCTAAACCCTTACACAATCAAGACTTCATCAACGACTCTAAAGATAAAGGCACATCTAGAGTCGCAGCAAAGACATAGAAAATCATGATGAGCAAATACTGAACCACTTTCAAATCTACACAATAGCAGGTGAAGAACTATGGAGGGAAAATCATGAACACGCTAAACTACTTACCGTGAGAATGAAGGGGGATTGTCAATTAATGCATAAGAGAATATATATTGAAAAACACAGAGACGCAAATACCTGAATTTCGATGGCAATAGCGAGCAGCTTTGATCAGAGAGGTCTTGAGTTCCGACAGCGTAATATAGGAATTCAAGGATCGTGTCTTCTTTTTCTCCAAGAAAGAAATATTTATATTTATTTATATTTTATTCTGAAGAAAAAGGAAGAATGAGAAATAAGATTTCTTTTATGAAAAATAAATTAATGATAATTAAATTTGATGAAAGTTTTTAAAATGTGCGGTAAATGTTAGCTTAAATAAAAATAAATTTAAAATTCGTATTATAAATATGGTATTTAAGTTTGTAATGTAACTTTTAATTTGTAATTAAGATCCTTGTCAATTTATTTTTTTTGAAATACTTGACCGATTTCTGGCAAAAAAAATACTTGACCGATAATCTAACTTTATTAATTTAATTCTTTGAGACTTTATTAAAAAAAAACTCATAGTTTTCCTCCGGCCTCTAAAAAAAAAAAGTGAACAGAAAACCCTAATCTGGTGAACTTTAAAATAAAAAAATTTATATTTCATTTAATCTGTGAATAGTTTAATGGGAGGGACAAAATTAAAAATATAACTCGCACTGTCGCACCCTACAGGGTTTTAAAGTTGTCTTGGATGAATGAATGAATTTCTTTTACCTGTTGGGTTACTTATATACGACTGTCATTGAAAATTTGAATATATTATTGTCTGTATTTTCTAATTAAGAGTATTATGAAAAATGTCTAAAGAATAAAGAACGGAAAACGGCGTCGAAGTCGGTTGGATTCAGCGTTCAAAGAAATGCTTGAAACTCAAAAACCCCCGCCTTGACCCTCTCATAAGAAAACCCCTGCCTTGCTGCCTTGTAACCCCTGACTCGGATTCTAATACACCGCGCATTTGGGCCCACCTTCACGCTTGAACCTCTCGCTCTCCTTCATCGAAGTTTTAATCACTTCCGAAAAGGTTAAGTAATCGCTCATGGAATATGATGAATTCATCGACCCAACTGATCAATCTTCTCAAGGTGCTTCGTCGGAAAGATACCTGCTTGGCTTCGTCTGCGCCCACATCGTTGGGGTTAAGTACTATTCGGGCACCATCAGTGGCCGTGAAATGGTTGGTCTGGTCCGTGAACCTCTCAACCCCTACGATGAGAACGCCATTAGGGTCCTCAACACTAGAGCAACTCAGGTTGGGCATATTGAGCGCTCCGTCGCTGCCGTACTGTCTCCCTTGATAGACTCCGAGCTCATCATTGTGGAAGGCATTGTGCCCAAAACGTACTCTGGTAACAAATTCAAGATTCCTTGTCAAATTCATATATTTGCGACGATTGAGGCTTTTCCAACCGTGAAAGACGTGATTTCAGACGCTGGGTTAGCTTTAATTTTAGTGTCTGATGCAGCTTCTACGTTGTCAGAGTCTATGGCTGTGAAAGAAAGGAAGGCTAAGAATGATTTTAAGAGTGTAGATGAGATTTTTAAGTTGGTTGATGAGAATTTTAGCAAAAAGGGTATATTGGAAGCTTTGGAGCCTCCTCGAAGTGTCATCAAGTCTAATCTTTTCCTACATCAGAAGGAAGGCTTGGGGTGGTTAGTTCATCGAGAGAATTCTGGTGAATTGCCGCCATTTTGGGAAGAGAAAGATGGAGCCTTTGTGAATGTTTTGACTAATTATCATACGAACACAAGGCCAGAGCCTTTGCGAGGTGGTATTCTAGCAGATGATATGGGATTAGGCAAGACCTTAACTTTACTTTCCTTAATTGCTCTTGATAAAGATTCTATTTCTCTAAATACGGAAGAAGGGAAGCATGATGAAAATGGGGGGCGCAATGAAGGATTCGCTGTCTCAAGTGGTAAGAAGGGTAAGAGGAGAGGAACAAATAAACAGATCACTGGATCAGAAAAAAAACGCAAGACTGAGAGTACTTCTTCAAGGGGCCATGTAAAAGGAAAATCTGTTGCTGCAGATGTCACACCTTCAACTGGCATGAATATGAAGACTACCTTGGTTGTGTGCCCCGCTTCTGTAATTTCAACATGGATATCACAGTTAGAAGAACATACTAAACCAGGAACATTGAAGACGTACATGTATTATGGTGATAAAAGGACCGAGGATGCTGAAGAACTTAAGATGTATGATTTAGTATTAACCACATACACGACCTTAGCTACTGAAGAATCTTCTCCAGACTCACCCATAAATAAAGTATATTGGTGGAGGGTCATTTTGGATGAAGCACATGTAATCAAAAATGTGAATGCTAAACAAAGTCAAGCTGTCATGAAAATTGTAGCTGAGCGGAGGTGGGCTGTTACAGGGACACCAATTCAAAATGGTTTATATGATTTATTTTCTCTCATGGCATTTTTACGCTTTCAACCATTTTCAACAAAGAGTTATTGGCAGAGCTTGGTGCAGCTTCCTCTTGTTGAAAGAAACCCAAACGGACTCTTACGTCTTCAGGTATTATCATGCATCAGTTCCTGTTGTTCGCTTATAAGATCCAAGGTCACCTACTTATGGCAATATTTAAATGATAGCGCACCATTATTCTAGCTCTAGGCTTGATTTGTGGACTTCGTGCTACTTCTCTTTGTATGCAGAAACATAATGAATGTATCATTGGTTAATGTTGCCACTTGTTTTCTTTAATGTTTACTTGTGGTGTAGGTCTTGATGGCAACAATTTCATTGCGAAGAACGAAGGATAAAGCATTGGTGGGATTGCCTCCAAAAACTGTAGAGACTTGTTTTGTGGAACTTCTTGAGGAAGAACGGAAACTATATGATCAGATAGAATCGAGAGCAAAGAACATAGTGGCAGGTTATTTTAATGACGGAAGCATAACGCGCAACTATTCCACTGTACTTGGTATAATTTTACGGCTTCGACAAATTTGTACTGATATGGCATTGTGCCCATCAGATATCAAATCTTTACTCCCTTCTAATAGCATCGAAGGTACCAAAGTTCGCAGTTTAACATTTTCTTTTTAAACTACTTGTTTTTTCAACCTCTGATTTCTGACGCCACTAATAACTGTGATGTAGGACTGAATTAAGTAGATACTTACTTTGTGTATCTGGTTTGTTAGATTTCTCATGCTTTCCTTTTCTTGCCGCCATTATTCCTTGAAGCTGAGCATGCATGGAATTTGGAAGTTTCTATATAATTTGTAAACATATCAAACCATGTGCTATAAAATTTCTTTGATTCCTTTAGGTAATGTCCTTTCCCATATGTCATGATTGACGATCATGAAAAGGTCAGTGCAGACCACCCTACCGGGGATCACTTAATGTCTATGAGATCAAAGTTATTTTATTCAAAAAAGGAAGATTGTTTTAGGTTGGAAATATCAATGCCATATTTTGTACCTCATAACGATACTTTTTCTTGTTTTAAAAGGAGATTAAAGTTTAATTGGCTTTAAAATGAATCTGTGTTAGGATTTCTAAGACATAGTTGTGAAGAATTTGATGCTATTCTTGTTTCTTGTATCAGCCAACTGTAGAATATCTAACTGGTCCGAAAATGTTATATATATTAATATGTTGCCGGAAAGTTCAATGACATTCCTTTACTGAAAAATACATAGTTGAGTCATGAGTCATGATTATTTCTGTTCTGAGGTCAACATCTGCCTTGTTTCTTTCTTATGTTAATTGATTTAATTGTGACAAACTATCAAAGAATCTGAAAATGCAGGCAACAATGAACCTGTTAACATAATTTTACATTTGTTTAATGCTTGCTTTATATTTTGTGTTTAAACAGATGTTTCCAATAACCCGGAATTGCTGCAAAAGTTGGTAGAGGTGCTGCAAGATGGTGAAGATTTTGACTGTCCAATATGTATTTCTCCGCCAACGGATATTGTAAT